ACAGTGGTTTGGACATGTCCAGAGGAGGGACAGTGGTTTGGACATGTCCAGAGGAGAGACAGTGGTTTGGACATGTCCAGAGGAGGAACAGTAAGTATATTAGTAGAAGGATGTTAGAAATGCAGCTGCCAGAAAAAAAGACAAAGAGGAGACATATGGATGCAGTTAGAGAGGACATGGACGTAGTAGGAGTGAGGACAGAGTGAGATGGAGGATGACTCACTGTGGAGACCCCAAAGAGAATGAGGCTTCTGTAGACTGATGAAACAATGGTCTCTTTTGATGTCAAATCACTCTTTACGTGCATTCCTGTTGATGATGCAGTAGAGGTGGTCAGTTTAAGATTAAAATCAGACACCACTCTGAGCAGCAGGACCACGCTTTCCACAGAACAACTGTGTCAACTCTTGAAACTGTGCCTGCAGTCAACCTACTTCACATATGGGGAGCAATATTATAGGCAGAAACATGGGTGTGCTATGGGGTCTCCAGTTTCTCCTATTGTTGCCAACCTGTACATGGAGGAGGTAGAAAAGAGAGCCTTGACGTCCTTTTCAGGGACACCACCAAGTCATTGGTTCAGGTATGTTGATGACACCTGGGTTAAAATTAAATCTCAGGAAGTCCAACATTTTACTGACCACATCAACTCTGTGGATAAATACATCAAGTTCACACGAGAAGATGTAAAAAATGGCAGGTTGGCTTTCTTGGACTGTGAGGTCTCAGTCTCTGATAGAGGACATTTGCAAACTGAGGTGTACCACAAACCCACCCACACAGACCAGTATTTGCAGTTTGACTCCCATCACCCTTTGGAGCACAAGTTAGGAGTCATCAGGACTCTGTACCACAGAGCAGACAGCGTCCCCACTAGCTCAGGAGCCAGGCAGAAGGAGAAATCCCACACAAGACAGGCTCTAGAGCAATGTGGATATCCTAACTGGGCCTTCCTGAAAGCAGAGAAGAAACCCAAACAGGACTCCAGTCAGCCATCAGGTGAAAAGGAGGAACCCAGACCCAGACCAGTGGTCATTCCATATGTTGAGGGAGTATCAGAGAAACTGAGACGTTTATTTTCTAAACACAACGTCCCAGTGGCTTTTAAACCCCAAAATACATTACGACAAAGACTGGTTCATCCCAAAGATCCAGTCCCCCGGCACAAACAGAGTAATATTGTGTATGCTGTTCAGTGTCAGGAGGGTGATCAGTCTTACATCGGGGAAACTAAACAGCCACTGGCCAAAAGGATGGACCAGCACAGAAGATCAACATCATCAGACCAGGACTATAAGGTCTACACTCATCTCCAGGCCAGCGGTCACTCTTTCAGGGATGAAGATGTTCACATCCTGGACAGAGAGGAACGATGGTTTGAGAGAGGAGTAAAGGAGGCCATCTTTGTGAAAAGAAACCGTCCATCATTAAACAGGGGCGGAGCCTCCAGGTTCAACTGTCCCCCTCTTACAATGCTGTGATTGCTAGTATCACTCAGCCCTCTGTGAACAGTAAACAGCCATCAGGTGCTAATGATCCATTGTTAGGCTGATGGTCCTTCTTGAACATGTGAGTGTGGAGTTTTATCAAACTTTGTTGTTCAATAAAATTTAGCAGACTGAGAACTTTGTTAAAAACACGTAGCAAAGTTTATTTCTCTTCTGCAGAAGGAGAGAACACATGGAACGGAAACGCAGCCCAAGAGTTCTTGTGTGTTCTCTAAAATCATGAGCAATACAGTCTCATTTATACACCTTCACACGCAACAGGTCTTGCTTTGACACAACAGGCGTTACCTCATTTGCAATCTTATCAGAGAAAAAACAGACAGTACGTTTGTGGTCAGTGACTGGTTGTGGAGCTGGGTTTGAGAAACGGAAGTTAAAAGGTTCCACACTGATGTTGGAGAGCTGCTACAGTTTTAGATGAGCTTTAACGGAGTGTGATATAAAGTAAATGACTAATAAGAGTGATGATAAACTTGATGAACAAAATAAACTGGAATCAATGTTTACAAAGTACTGATCCTTTCTGAGACTCGGAGCTAAAACTGCAGGCAAACTTTAATTATCATTTTAAAGTAAACTGCAATTTGTGTAAACATATCAAACTTTTATATTAATAACCCAGAAAATATCAACATGAGCAGCTGGTTCTGGTTGTCAGCAGCAAACTGGTTGATTCACTCTGAGAAGGTGCTATTTATAAGACTGAGCTGAATACAGCACCTCAGACTGAGGAAGTCCTCAGGATGAGAGACGAAACGTTTCTACATTTTATGTTTTTAATGTCCAGAGGACCAGACTTAACTTTTTTAGATGTTTCTACCTGGATTATTGAGCAGCATCAGGATAACGAGGCTTCTTCTGTCTATCATTCACTTTTGCCACATTCAATATGGCGGCAACGTTGACGCCCGACGCAGCTCAATGATCCGTTTATGTTTATATTTATGGACGAGGCATTTAATTTTTTACATGCAAATGCTGCAGCTGATGTTCCGAGTTCAGTTCCTGTGAGCAGGTTCTCATCAGCACTTTGGTTGGCCTTGTTGCTGTTTTAAGTGCTATATAAATAAATTGGTATGGTATCCTCAGCCGTCCACTCTGACGTCACGAGCAGCCTCCATTAGCTTTGCTAGCGCGTTTCCCGCTCCCGTTTAATGTGATTGTTGTAGAGTTCGAGTCTGTTTCTTGTATTTAAGTGTGTGGTGGAGCTCCTGGTGGTTGTGTGAGCAGGTTCAGAGCTACGTACCGACTCTGTGCAGCTTCAGCTCAGGTTTCCAGCTGACATCCAGCAGTCTGCGCTGACGGTCGAGCTCTTCTTCGTACCGCAGGATCGTCTTCTCAAACTCGGAGAAGATTTCTGAGGCAGCAGCGCTCAGTCTTTCACCGATGAACTCTCTCAGAAGATGAACCGAAGACATTCTGTTTACTAAAAACTGGTTAAACACTCAACGAAGGGCAGAAAGGTGATCTCACGTCTTGGATTTTTTCTAGTGGAGTCGAGTGATCCAGGAGGATTTATGGAGGAGGAGCTCTCTGCGGAACAAAAGTGGGCGTTTCTGGAGAACAAACGCTGATTGGCTAACTGTATTAATGGCTCTTTAGGTAAGTTACGTCAGCTTTAAAAAAGTTGAATCTGGTCCTCTGGACATTCAGTCTTATAAATCAATAATAAATAAATAAATAGCACCTTGATGATGCGGGCTGTACCACGTGACCGATTCAGGAACTGTATGCGCGAGATTCGAAATGTAAGGAGCAGACAGAAAACTCCATCATCATCATCATCATAAAGACAGATTAAGAACATTTACAGATCAAATTTAGACTATTTGAGGTCCTCACAAACATGACTTATTTTCTTTTATTCATCTTAAAGCTTCACAAACCAGTTGTTATTATAATGCATTTGTTTTACATGTAGTCCATTTGATTTCATGAGTTAAAGCCTCAGTGCTTCATGAAGCTTCATCTCCATATCTATGTTCATATCTATGTCCATATCTATGTCCATATCTAT